CCAGTCGGCTTTATAAATAGAGAGAGACAACGTGGCCTGCTGCATCGGAACGCTCACGAACTGTATCACCGTATAATATTGAACGAGACGATTCTAAATATGTAATACTAGCCGAGTGGCCCCCGGGATTACCCGTGAAAATACATTTCACCCCTATTTCCCGTTTCGAGGTCGAATTTTAAAAGTTTCCTTCTTAGCCGACATTCGTGTTATGGGTGAAATACATTTTCCAAATTTCATTTTTAGGTTCGCGGCTTCAGGCTTGATGAGTAAGTCTGTTCACTTTGCGTTATTACGATTTAGTAACTAAGTAAATTCTGCGATCTTTTGCGCAAGTAGAATTTGTAAGTAAGGTCTATAATGTAATTACGTTTTCGGCAACCTTTTTTGTTTTTTCGTGGCTATATTTTACAGGATTTTCATTAGCTTTATTGCTATCGCTGTTTTGTGAACTGATTAATAATGGAACGATAACTTTATTTAAATGTCTAATTGACTACTGATATTGTGATTGTGATTTCCTTACGTGATTATTATTTGGGTAGTACAATATACTTGTTCCCTATACACACACTGCTGACACAGGCGTGACGTTACTCTGTCTTAGTGATATGCCTGTTTATTGATATTGCATGATGTCACTGTTTAAGATAAGCGCAATAACAAGTATTTAACTGTTAACACCACAAAATATTTAGTGCTACACAAACGGACGTGTTAAACAACAGCCCGCTAAACAATTCTATCACTGTTACAAATTGTCTGTTGCTAACAGAAAATACTAACGTAACTTTCCCACAGTTCCCAAAATACTGAACCCGGCGTCCGAAAAAGCAACAGTTAATTGTAGTTCCAACAGGCAGCGCTTACTTTAGCAGTTCAAACATAGGGACTCATTAATGAGACGGGATCCCGCAGTGGAGTGAGTCCCGCGAGAATCCCGAAGCCAGGGACACGTCACAATTGAACTGGTAACGAGGACGGATTATTGATTGAATCCATCAAGTCCCATGCGAATTGTCGTTATTAGTGACGTGACAATGTAACCATAGATACCACTCGTATAGATTCCACCTCAAACAGAATTATCACTTTTAATATCGAGTTATGAGTTTGATGAGCCCTGATTGAGGTAGCGGAACAATCAACCGAAGGATTTGAATGGAGATAGGAATCTTTCTAAAATATTAATAATTTGTTTTATTATTCATTTGACAATTGTTTTGCTCTAGCAAAATTATTATTTATCTGACTGGCACTCTGTTATTTATATAGTTTTAATAATAGAGCTGCATTCATGCCTATTATTTGCGCTATTTAAAGTAATGATGCTTCGGAAAATATCATAAATATCGAAATAAATGTCACCACCGACTATCATTCCGTTTAACATTAATCAAACAAAGTAATAATTTAATGTACAAAATTGATACCACCATTTTGTTTACATAGAATAAAAACGTGCATAAAACTGTAGCACATTACTCAAGTAAGGTGACGCCTTTGGGTGACATTAACACCTACACTTTTAAGGTACAAGTTATTTTTAAAAGCATTTTACAGATAATAATTGGAGCATGAATAAATATAATGACGTAGACACCTTAATGGAGGGTCTGTTAAAACCGAAGAAATGCTAAAGTATAAGATTTCAAAAATAAATTAAACTTACCTCCGAACCTCACGTGTACTTATCCCAAAACATTTTGTACCGAAATTTAACAAATCCCGACTGTCAGAACTTGGATAGAGGGGTTAAGCATGACTTTTTGACATTTACATTTTCATTCAATGATATAATATATGAAAAAAGTGGAGTACGAATTTCGTACTAAAAAGTCTCCGCAGAACATTTTTCAAAAACAAAACGAAAAAGTGGACGTCAAAACTCGGACTAGACCCCAATTGTTTTGTTAATCTACTCAGGATTATCAAGGTTTAATATAGATAAGATCGTAACCTCCTTTGCTCAAAAGACAAAAGATTGTCGAAGACATAATTAAGGCCATTCTCGGCGTATTTACCTTCTGAAATCGTTGGACCGTATGAAAATTAAATGACAGTATTAACACAGGGAGCGCATGGGCCTGTGATTGCCTGTCAAACACAGGTATAGCTGTTATCTGACGCATGAGGTAATTATAAGTCGCTTTACAACTTCGCCAGGGTTACGCTCTTGAATGGGCTGTTTGTTAACGGGCGAAAACTGACGTAGTCTCTAGTTCAACACGATGTTGTAAATACGCTATAAATTGTTCCATTTCCGTAAACATTCACCACATTTTTACTTCACACAAAAAATATTATACAACAAATATATAAAAGTTCCGAGGACGGCTTTCACAAAACTTATGGAAACCACCGTTCTCACAGCGTTTTCCTATTTCCGTCCAGAAAACCAGTTACATTTCGTTTTTTTAGTGTAGCAAACATTTTGACATGAATTTACATATGTTATTCTAAGCTGAGAATACGATTTAGTTTTCTATTACTGTAAAAGATATTCCGTACACATTGGACATACAATACCATTATTTCACTAAATATTTAATCTTTGATCACAGTGGAAACAGTAACCTATCACTTTGACGAGGTCTCATATGTACAAAGGAGCGGTATCTAGATCCGTATATGATAGTTGCAGAATAGCTGGCGGCATACAAAAGCATCCATTACCGCATAGGTACTGATTTGTCACGCCGCTGATTCATTAGTCGAACATTAATCTTAAAACGCTGTTACGCTGGTACATGATAAAGCTTTACTTTGTTTAGCCCCCTCTACGGGCTACGAGACTTCGTAGCGCCTCGTAGCGGCGTAGCTAATTCATAGCACTAAAATCTGTTGTAGCTGTTGATTTTCTTGTGCGGATTTGCATTTTATGTAAATTGGTTGATAGAATGTTAGATTTAGGTAAAATAATGCTTACTTTAACTGAGTTCAGCATATTTGCACACTTTAACTATAAGTACTTATAGTTCTTAAATTGATTTTTTAGTATAATTATACTAAGTAGATGTGTGCATACGTGCACTAACGAAGTTTCTCAGATGTTTTAGTTCTCCTAGGCTATCGAAAAAGTAGTAATATAATTTTACTTTTCCTTGGTTCATAAAAAGATAGCAAAACCAACACACAACATCACCAAATAAGGTAATCCATTAATTAAAAGTTACATTATCTAATAACAAAAGAAAACTTATACACAGCGGCAATCTCCCAACGAACCATGAAACAATCACGTAAATTGAATAGTTTCCGATTTATCCTCGAACAAAAAGTTTCCCAGTCTCTTATTGCTGAAAAACACATTAATAAATACATTAACGAAACTGACCCACGAACGTCTGTACCGAGATATAAGCGTACGAACGAAGCGAAGAACTTCCTTCATACGTCATGCAATGCTATCATTAAGGTAGTCTCAGAGTTCCATTTCAGAACGATGAAGACAAAACAATATTGATATTGGATAATGGAAAAATAGCGTGTTACAAACGAATTACTACCGAGGAAAATTGCCATTTCCTTGCTATTCTTCTATCTAGAGGTACTTACTAACCGAAGTTGTTAGATTACTCTGCGTTTGATAGCTTTCACCGGCCCTAACGACTTATTGTAGGGAATTAACTGAACGTTCTCAACGTCACCTGTTTACGAACATGTTTGTTTTTTTAGATGTAGTAAAACGTTGTTTAAGATGTCCTGTAGCCCGATTCACGTAATAAAAACCGTAGCGATATCGTAGCGACTTAATCGTTTAAGTCCTTTTCGTATTCACATACATCAGTCGAGTTCGATCGACACCGATTTTGAAGTCGTTCGATCGAAGTGTCGTTGAAGCGTATTCAGCTGTGTAAATCGTCTTTCAATCATTAGTACGGTGGTATTCACGTAAACAAACGATGTTGGAACGGGTCGGCTATCAACGACTAAACGTCAAATTTGACGGTTGAAATGTCGTTGAAGTGTCGCTGAACAGAAGTACGTTGGTTTTGACTTCATTGTAACTCAGCTATTAATTTAATTTTATACGAACGAATTTTGGTGATTTTCGGTACAAAAACTCCAGTGATTAAACAAAAAAATGAGTCTCGGGCTAGGCCTGTTATTATTAGATGCAGCTAAAAGAGCGAGGAGCGAGTAAGGAGAAACAGACTGAGGTGTTCTAGATGGGATGCCTTTGAAATGCCAGACAGAGATTTTATAAAGACATTTCGCCTTTCTAAGATCCTTTTCCACGATATTATTGAGGATATTACACCTCTAATAGAGAGAAATCGAAGGCAAGATGGTTTATCAGTGAAAGAAAAGGTTTGTCTCAACTTGTGTGCTTTTTACACTTAAATTTTATCTCATTACATTTATCTACTTAGAATCTAATTTTGTTTTTTCAGTTACTGCTCGCCCTATCATTTTTCGCATCTGGTTCCTATCAGACTCTTGTTGTGTGGTGATCATGAAATGAGATATATTATCACATCCCACCGCCTTCGATTTAATGGATAATATTACCTTACCGATCTCTTCAGGTGCAACTGGAATAAATTGTAAAGAATTGCTAGTATTAGAGCCCGTCATACCAGAAATGAAGGCCAGTGTCTGTTGTTCAGTATACTGATCTAATGTGTGAGTCGAGGAAAAGTGACGATTCAGATCATCTAATCCAACTAAAACCGAGAAGTCAGAATTGCGCGATCTGTCAATACCTAGAGTTCCAAGGAATTTCCAGATGTTGGCAGAAGACTCAGAAGTAATGTTTTCAAGAATGTGGCAGCTTTTAGTGTTGCGTATCATCTAATTGCACATATTTATCTAAATTATACTGGTATTGTACTGATTTCAGTTATCTAAATCTAACTGAAATGCAGAGCTTGAGTAAGTTCAAAACATATTAATACATACTTTATATTTAATAAAAAAAAGCTTATTAGTCAAATTATAAATATAATGTAATCAGTCTAATTAACAATTATAATACTTATTAAATAAAACAGTAGTGTCATTTTGTTTTAAAATACAAAACTATGGTCATCGTCATCACTGCTCTGAGATCGAGCCCGTTTGTATTCACTCGTTTCTTGTGTGTCATCACATTTTCTTTTCTGTAAAGATTCAAAAATTTTTAATTTGCATTAAATATTATGTTATAACTATTAAATATTATATTATGTTTATAACTGTGTCTTATTTTTAATTCATCGTCATCTTAGCGTTAATCTACACTTCGAAATTATTCATCGCGGTCAAAGGCGGTGCCGAAGCAATGCAGCTAGATCAATTGTCGGACTGCTCCAACAACCCGAATTCGTATTATCACAATGTAATTTTTGTTTACTTACATTTCCCTCTTGGCCACCCTTGAAAATATTAACTAAGGCCCAAGCTGCACTGGCCAAATTATTTATGGCGTTAACCTTGTTCTTTTCGATTTCATTGCGCTCGAGCTGGACCTGTATTTGTGACTTGTTTAATTCTAGTCGAGCTTTTTCTAAATCGGCTAAAACAGTTTTCGCCTTTTCTACTTCTGTATCTGAAAGTAATATTACAATGTTTTTAACAAATCATATTATTTGAATTTGTTTATACATCAATAACAAGGTGTATCTGTACCTTTAGGGTCCCTCCTAGATATTCTCTGGCTTTTACCCTTTTTTATATTATTGTGGAAACTCCTATTACTATTTAATGTTTCAGTTCTGGAAATATAAATTGCGTTAAATTAACACAATAGTAAGTTCTATAAAGTTCAATATTTTATTATTCATAATTATATTAAGATTGTATAACTTACTTAGCTTTGTCTACAGGCACATTAAAACTTGAAGAAGTTGATGGCTGGATGTCATCAATTGTAGTATTCTCATTCCTAAAAAATCAAAGTGTTAGAATTTATTTTTATGTTCTAAAAATATGTATTGTGTTGAATTAATTATTTCTTAATAAGTAGGTAGTTCAATATTTTAATTATTAACTATATTATATACAACTTAAAATACTTACTCAACTCTTAATGGAGTCTCACTGTCCATAATTTCTAAAGTCTCCACTTCAAAATTAATTTGAGAATCTCCTGTAATATTTGTGTGATCTCTGCAACAAAATAATTAATACACAAGTAAGAAAAATTACATTATCATTAGTCAGGTGAGCTTATTTTTTGCTCATTATTGCTTAGAGGTAGATAGATACTCACAATGGAATAATTATATCCTCAGTTTCTGAGGTGGGTATGGGATTTTGTCGGACTGGAAGGCCGACAAATTTGTTCCCCAATATGGAACAAAGTCTTTCTTCCAGTTCCGATAACGGCTGAGCTTCTGAAGGTCCACCACCTGTCTTCCGTTGGCTTTGTCCGATTTTACGAGATTTATTTTTTATTCGACATTTATAGTCGTTATAAAACTGAGAACAAAACCAACATATAATATAACATATATTATTTCAATGGTATGGTATTTCGCATTAATTACATGCTATGCAAGAAGTGTACTTACTTTATTCCATTCTTTCGCTGACCTGTACATGGAAGGGTCTGCTGTTTCGCTGTTTAATATTGCCGCTAGCTCGGTCCACAATTTAGTGGACAAAATATGCCCTTCTTTGCCTCGGACCCGTCCCAGTGCCAACATTCTATGTTTCTCCATAAAATCTACCAAGAGTTCTAGCTGTCTTACAGAAACTTGCTTCATTTTAATTATATTTTAAATTTTTCAAACTTTGCCGGTGACGGTGATAGACAGTTATTTGACAAGTAATGCAGAGACAAATTATAGACTTTCCTTTTTAAACCGTGGTTTAGTGGTGAAATTATATTTTACTCAACAATTTACATTAAATGTTTATTAATATTGTTTTTAATTCCATTTATTTAATTGTTATGACGTAAATCAGATTTTTTTAAACTTAAATCTGTATTTTAATATTCTGGTAGAAAACATAATTGTTTAACTGGCAATGAAACGTTGATGAATCGTTTAGTTGTCGTTTAGTTTCGAGTCAGTTTAATTGTCGTCCTATCCAACCCCGATTATAGAATATGTGAATACCGATTTCGGATAGGACTTCGATCGAACTATGATCGAGCGACTATAAAACTTCAACTGTTTGATTTTACGTGAATTAGGCTACTGACCTCCTTAGGTCATTAGTGAAATATCTTCCAAAAAAGATTTTGTTACAACTAGCTCGTGTCTATGTGTTCTCGCTCGTGTTTTAAATGGAAAATGACCACGAAAGAGGTCAGAACTATGATGATGTTGAAAGTAACGTTTTTTTAGGACAAGCCTGTAAACTAGTAGGCGGATCACCTGATGGTAAGCAATCGTCGTCGCCCATGAACAACCAAACCAAACCGGGCTTTTGGGGATTCAGGGATTGGGGAATGAGGGGTAGGTAATTGAGCCTCCGGTAACCTCACTCACAGGACGAAATACAACGCAAACATTGTTTCATGTCGGTTTTCTGTGAGGTCGTGGTATCACTCCGGTCGAGCCGACCCATTCATGCCGAAGCCTGGCTCTACCATACTTGAAAAACGTTCTAAAATAATTATCAAGTATTTTTCTTTACCTTTGTAGTACTGTTTCAAATAAAGATTAGACAACTAACAATGTATTTGGATGACAATCTCAGAATGAGTAATTAATTAATTTCAACGAACGAAGATAAAAATCATTTTCGCATCAAAAACTAATTACGTCACACCACTCCAACATCAAATGAAATTAGAGAAATTCTCTTCTATTGCGAGCTAGACACAATAATTGATTAAAGTAAAGCACTACAAACAAAAACAAGTAAGGGCGTTAAACAAAGGAGAACTCACATTGTTAACAGAGTAAATTCTTCCATCTTTAGATTACGTATCAAATATCATCATTATTTAACACACACGCACTTTGAAAAAGTTTTTACTTGACATTTTGAAAGCCTAAAGCCTCGTGTATAAGGTCATTTAATATTTTCTGCTTGCTTCTGTCTAGACAAAGAACTCTGACCTCAATTATGAAATAATAATGTGAAATTCTTTATACATAGTTCATGTAATGTTTTCAGTTTTTTAAAGTAATTGCTTAAGCTCTTGTTATTTTAGGCATGAAAGATAGTATTAACAAAGTAACCTTTTTTAACGAAATTCTTACTAAGATTATAGTACTGAGAATTTTTGCCTAGGTAACTGAAGATTTGTTCCCATTATGCTAATAAACTCGAGAGCCATGCTTCGGCATGAATAGGCCGGCTCGACCGGAGTGATACCACGGCCTCACAGAAAACCGACGTGAAACAACGCTTGCGTTGTGTTTCGTCGTGTGAGTGAGGTTACCGGGGCCCAATTACCCCCCTCCCTAGTCTCCCGAATCCCCAAATCCTCTTCAATCCTCAAATTCCCAATTCCCAAAAGGCCGGTAACGCACTTGTAACACCTTGGTGTTCCGGGTGTGGGCGGCGCCGATTGCCGTCTGCTCGTTTACCGGCTTATGCTATAAAAAAAACTATACCTAAGATGAAACCTATAATATAATAAATATACAGAAAATGGGTTTTCAATCTACACCTTATTTTCTGAGGAAATCAGCTCAGAAAGTATTGTCATAAACTAAGCCAGAGCCAAACACATTTTAGACATAAAAGTAGCAAAATCTTCAATTTCATATACAACCAGTCTATTGTCGTTTGCTGCTAAACCAACCCACTGCAGGCAGTACTAATCACCCGTTTTTGTAAAACAGTTTAAATATATTTTCCCTTATCTAAGCTTTGCAGACAAAGAAAAAAGTATGCATTTCTCCAACTCATATAATCGACAAGACGTCTTCCACGGATGTGTACACACAGCACTATATCGCAATATTCACCTACACAAAGCTATAAACTTTTACACCCCCGCACGTACACAACGATATCCAGATAATAACGTATCTAACTAGGGTTAACTTAACCTCGCCTAATGTTTATGCGGCCGTGCTACGTACAAGCAAACTCCTTCTATTGCCAATACAATAGATAACAAGTTTCGATAAGGAAGTTCAGTGAGGGTACCACAATATTGCGTACGTATCTGCCTAATTTTAGTCAACCGCTTTAAAATTGACTTCGTTTACTGTGTGGTTGTAAGTAAAGTAGTCAAAATGGCGTCTAGATTTCTAATTAAGACTTTATGCGATGACTGGACCTTACTGAGGGCAGGTGTTTCATTTGATACTCTTGACCAACTTGAATATTAAAGAAACTAGTTAGTCAGCTATACGGGACATATTGTAGTGCATAAGTGTGCGTGTGCACGCACTCAAATACAAGTGTATTTTTTTAAGGGGGAAAAATCATCGAATGACTGCTCCCGCCTGGGTGTGGCGGGAGGGAGTGTCAGACTCTTACTGATTAAAAACCATCCCGTTCCTTTTCCTGCGCTTCGAGCCGGAGCCCCGGTAACCCGTTAGGTTCTCCGCGACTCCTAAAAATACAAGTGTACACTCATTTTTCCACTCTCATGGAAGGATGTGATATAAATAGTAATCCGACATGACCGAATGGGGGTCATACGCAGAATCAACGTCTTTAAGTACCTTTCGAGACAAAATTTCTTAACTTCGAGCTACTTATTTTGGTTATATTGAGTAATTAATAGTTTGAATTTATTGTTTGCTGGCATGAGTTTGGCAACGGGCTCGCTCTCTATTACTAAACAAGACCTGTAGAAAAGTGAATGTACTGTAAATACCTTCACTTACCCCGTTGGGAAATAAAAGGCACAAAGTAATAATGTTAGTGTAAAGTTCATTGTTTCGTTAGTGCTCTCACTCCAACGAGACGCGTGTACGACGTGATTGCATTTCTTAATTTCAACATCCAATTAACGAAAAAGACAATTCGATAAAGCAATCTTGACGAAATTACTTTTCTAGTTTGTCAGGAAAGTTTGAAATGCCTTTGATTGGTTGTGTTCGAGACGATACGAAAAAAGAACTTAAATGCCAGCAACATATTGCATTTATAAATAGAACGATTTGAAATGAATATTACATTAAAATAGCTTAATGTAATCTAGCTCGATATTAAATTATAAAATGAAATATTGAAATATTTAACACAAACATTAATAAATCATGTACATGCACATTTGTTACAGGTATTAGTAAATAGTAATAAATTTTGATATTTCATGTTCATACATATACATATGGTAAAGTTAAATTATATTTTAATAAGTGATTGTGTTATGTGATATATTGTACATTCCTAATTCGATTAATGTTACAGCTGAGCATTAGAGTTCGTTTTTCAAGTTGAACCAAGCTATATTTCTTTCCAGCATCCCAGTTTTAACACGGCACCTGGAAAAGTGCCAGGCGTATAAATATAGGATACTCTTCTGTTACCTACATAAAACTAATAAATACTAGCAAAAAGTGAGCATAGTTAGAAAAAATAATAAATAATGGTGTGATATATAATATCATGCAAAATCTCGCTTGTTTAAAGAATTGAGTCAAGTTTTGTTCTATTCTGTGGACTCAACTATATCCTAAAAGTGCAACCAGCTACTATGAAACTGTGGGGATATCCAAGCCATCTGCTTATCAAGAAGACTATGGCTAACTTTCTCGAGGAAGACCTCGATGCAACAGTGAACGTATATCAGGTGATAATGATAACTTACCATGTGGTAATTGCACTCTTCTTTTGTATTATTCTAATTTCATCTTTCGGTTCATAGATTTAAGCCTCAGTACAGCATGTACGTTTTATGCAAAATGGCATCTGGTGCTTTGATATAGGATCAGTTTAAAGCAAATATGTTGATTATTATGTCAGTATTAACTGACGTTAGACTGATGTAATCCTGTGTGCTAGTGCCGGGAGCCAACGGAAGTCAGAATAATGAAATTAATTGATCGCCTGCCAGCCAATATTGGTTCGATTAAATATTAATCGCAAAAGATGTAGAAATTATTATAAGTGGGTAGATCTTTATAATACAATAAGCCAAAGGATTTTTTGGATTACTCTATATGTCTATATTATTATATTATTATATATTAGCTGACCCGGCAAACGTTGTTTTGTCATATAAATAATTTCGTAGAAGGGTGAAAATTGAGGATTGTATGTATTTTTGTATGTTGTATCATAAAAAATAGAAAAAAAAAATTGCCTAAATAATAAAAAAATAGGGTTGGACTACCCCTAACATTTAGGGGGATGAAAAATAGATGTTGGCCGATTCTCATAGATACCGGATAAGCACAAATTTTTTTATCATAATCGGTCAAGCCGTTTCGATTTTATATATTAGATATTATATATGTATATATATATGTATAACAAAAATGATTTCAACTCAACAAAAAATCCTTTGTTGAGTTGAAATCATTTTTATTGAGCAAATTTACAATCATTGTTATGTAGATATTCTAGTATAAGTAACAAAATACTACGGAACAAATACTAATCGTTCTCTACGAAACTTGGGCTAAATTCATATAAATTATACATAGAGGCTATGAAAAAGCGGTTAACAACCTCTTGAACAATAAACACGTAATCCACGAGACCATACAATGTCCATTATCAGGCTATAAGTTACCTACTTAACATCAAACTAATCTCAGAGCTCCATCATAAAATATAACTTAAAAGCTATCGCGAAGAAACCATTACCTGCAATGGTGGATTTTTGATATATATTCTGCTATCATCCAATAAATTTGAACGAGAATATGCGTACTCACCATTAAGTATGATTTAAAGGCTCGTAATTCAAATACGACATATAATCGATGTTCGGAAGCTACATGGAAAAGGACATCCACCCTTTTCTTACGAGCAGCAATTAAATTTAATATGTCATTTATTCCTTCTAAGATTACTTTCATCGAATACAAATGCCCTCACGTACATTAGATTACTTTTATTGATTATCGGAAAGGTTTTTCTTTGGCGAAATGCTTTGATCATTTCTAACTATTTGCATTTCAAACTTCGGAGGGATAATTATTATTTGAAACCGGCCTGACGCAACGATCCTTAAGCGAAGGATTGGCCGACACAAAAGACCCGTTACCTCACAAAAGAACATTGAAATATTATGAAATAAAATAATGCAGGTAAAGCATATTAACTTTACCTTTTATTTCCTTTGTGTACTTTTTTATTGTTTGTTGAATCTTCCATTCTTTCGTAATTCAAATTTGAATTCTTCAACAGTTTTTTAAAAGCGTATTGGTGT